ATCTATAATTAATTTAAATATTTTAAGGGTATTAATAGATAAAATACCAAAAGGTAGTGAAGCTTCTACTATAAAAAATTTTAGTTTTTGGGTGAGGTTACCGATTTTAAGTTTTAAAAAAATATATCCAAGGGTATTTACATTGTGGGCTATTGCATTTATAGTTAAACTGTACTGATGGATAATAATTTTATATGGTAATCTATTTTCTATGGTTCTTAAAATATCTAAGTTAAGTAGGTTTATAGATGCTCCCGTGTCTATTAAAAAGGGCAAGTTTACATTTGGTGACAATTCAGTCCATATTATTAATTGTTCAACGAAAATAAGTTTCAGGTTTTCCTACCGTTGAGCTGCTCGCGGGGCTTGCAGAGTCGTCTTGGCTTGCAGCTTGGACTTGGGGAACATGGTTCGGAGGTTGGACCTTGGGCTGGGTGTGGGTACCACGTTTTGGTACAGTGGTTGTGTGTGGTCGGGCGCTGTAGACTGGGCGTGTTTGGTCCCGTGGGAACCGTTGTTCACACTGGGAGTGCCAGTGCATGGCATTGCAATACTTGCAAGGCGAGGGGGGAGGTGTAACTGGGTATGTTACACGTGATGGCCGCTGGCTGTTGTACCGCGGTGGTGGGTTGTGGTAGGTGGGGTGTGGAGCCTTGTCTACTTGGCGCTGGTTCACTGCACTGGTGGCACACTGAGTTATTCTTGACACTAGGTCGAACCATTCCTTAATGGTGTTTGGCTGCACAGTTGCGACTAATCGCTGGTCTGCGACGGGTAGTCCGTCGGTCAGAGATTCAATTAAAATGTCGGCGGGTAGGTCGAGTTTCATACCCATAACAGTTTTGTTTTGGTAGTAGTTTTCTAGGGACATTTGGGGTGTCATTTTGATTGCCAAAAAGCGTGCAAACGACGCTTCTGTCGTTGCTGGGAATAAGTCTATCAATCTCTGGCGGGCTTCAATATAATATAACCTATCTAACCGTAGGCTTCGGAAATATTGGAGGGGCTTACCTTGTAGGTAGCAGGGTAATTTGCGTAGGCGATCTGTGTAGGTCAGTTCAGTTCGGTCTGCTTGGGCATCGAAGTTGTCGAAAAAGCTTTGGGCTTCAAAAGTACCATCGTATGGACTTACGTCTATCTCCCTAGGAGATCGGGCTACCAGTAACTTACTCAGGGCATCGGCGATCTGTGTCAGTGGGTCTGCGGAGGTATCTTGGGGCGGCGACGTTTCCTCCTCTTCCAATGTCGTTTCTTGTTTGGGGATAGTTTGTTCGGCTGTATCGTTGGACGGGTTGGTTTGCTCCTCCATCTTTCTTCTTGGCTCTTTTCTATCTGGACAGTCTTTACCTTCTTCGTTGTGGTCTCCTTCGTTGTGGTAATCCTGTCGACTATCTGTAATATTGTGTTGAGTCGACTTATCTGTGATTAGGGATCCTGTCGACTAGCTGTAATATTGCGTTGAGGTCCTGTCGACTCTCTGTAATAATGCGTTGGGGTTTGGTAAGCCTGTTGTAGAACCTCGTCGACTCTCGCTATAAGTTGTGGCAACCGAGGGTCAAACCTGTAGTAACCGCGAGGGACAGTCAGGGGTGGAGAGTTTTCCAGTAGCCTCTCTGCACCTTGTAGGACCTTTAACAGTTCTCACAAAGTACAGGCAGTCGTGGTCGAGGCAGAGTGGAAAAGCTGGGGATGTCCACACACACAAAACGAAGAGACACAGTTGAAAGAAAGTTCCTTGAATAGATAAAAAGCGAGCCAAAAGCTAAGATGGAGATCGAGAAGGTTTCTTACTGTTTTACATGGTCGATGAGTTGGTCCCTGGAGACAACCGGCAAGGGGTGACGCTGATGGGGAACTGAACTAGAACTGACTCCTGTCGCTAAGGCCGGTCTTATTTATACTACCTCTCCGACAAAGAGAATTGCATCACGGCACGTGTCGCTGCTACTCGAGACACGGCACGTGTCGCTGTTACTCGAGTCTGGCGCCTACCTGTCGGCTAACAATCTATCTTTAGAAGTTACTTTGTGATCTCTCAATCTTGCTTTTAACTTAGCTTTTAATCTATTATATATTTTTATTTATTCATCCTCAGTACATTACATTTGGTGATGCAAGGAGACCTGTCAATTATGCATATAATTAGTTATAGTTTATAATTAGTTCTATATACAACATGACAATCTTGTTATAAATTACATAATATAGGGTTATTGGTTTAAATTATCATATATATATCCATTGCCTTGTTCATGCATTTTAGTTAGCTGAAGGAAGACCTGCCCGAAAACTTCCTTCAATTAATGTGAATAAAAAGAGTTGTGAGACGTCTTATAATTCTTTGTCATTTTTGTAGAAATTCGCAATCCTAGAATATAGTGATTTTATATAGTGTTTTTTTTTTTTTTGAAAATAGAGAAATTTATAAATATATTTTTATTTAAAAAGGCATATATTTAATCAATCTGAGGTCCGCAAGAATAAAATATGAACTGAAGAAAATGTACAAGCTTTAATTATTTCAATTTTCGTCTAATTAGGTTGCAAAGAAACAGATAACTCCACCTTTGTCGTTCCCAAGCCCGGATGAAAAAGGAGGAGGGGAGCAGTAACAAGCTCACTAAAAAACCTGGGTTCAGCTGGCCCGGCTGATAGTACCCTGTAAGAGCTCCTAATCCAGGGATACAGGATCAGCAGCGTTTGTACTCCCATGTTAGGAGCGGCTACACATGGCGTCTCTTCCTCATGTCAGAGGCGGCCATTTCTTTTGGAGCTAAGTTGGCCTGCCACTGAGTAGTGCTCCCAATCTTAATGACAAAGGCAGACGTATTCTACTTCATCCAGTCATGGTGGTTGTCAAACAGACACCATCAAGGGTCACAACCTGATAACCTAATATGATTGAGTGGAGATAAAAGACGAAGAAGAAAAAGAAACAGATTCTTAAATAGATGTTCCGGTACTTTTCCATTTTCTCTTTTTCTCTCTTCAACTAATTCTGATTTGGATAAAAATAATTTATGTTGGTTTGAATTACGTTAATTTTGGTTTATTTGTCTGGAATCTGTTTCTTTGCAATATAACTAGGCAAAAATTGGAATATTTTGGGTGTACATTATTCGTCAGTTCACAATATCGGCAAATATTCGGTTTCTTTTACGATTGACTTATAAATGAATATTTAAAAAAATTAAACTGAAATGTTTAAAAGAAAAATATATTTTCAAAGGTATTTATTATAATTATATTATAAATTATATTTATATAGAACAATTTATATTGATTTTTAAAGGGAATAAAAGAAACGATTTTGTGCTTCAACTTGAATTTTCAGCTCTAGATAGATAAACAAGGAAACTAATATTTGTATAATTCCAACCAACTGGAATATTCTTTTTATCCAAAGCAGGAATAGATAAGTGAAGAGAATAAAACAGAAAAAGGAAAAGCGCGGTACTATCTCTTTGAAAACCAGTTTTGTAAATTCTAAATTTGCTTAAATTGATATATCAAACATCGATTGAGAGACCATCTTCATGAACTAACAAGATGATCTATGTTTCAAAATGTTCTATTTCAATATCATATTTAAAATTGAGTTTGATATATTGAAATAAAGCAGTGGAACTTTGTATTGCTCCTAAGTATTATTGTCCCTTTTCTTAATATATGTTTTGTTAAGATATATATCAAGTTACATTTTGAACAAGATGTCTAAGAAAGAGCCTATTTTGCCGATAGCCTAAGCTATTTGAAGATATATTTACTAAATAATAATAATTAAAAAAACTCATAAACAGAATAGTTGATATTATTCCGATAGATGGCGCCAGCCATCATCAACTTTCAGTTGCACGATAAGGAGATGTCTTTTTCTTAATTTATTTACCTTATCCCAGTACAATTTCACATTTGTAATATTTTTTCCACATTGTAAATTAAAGTTTTATCAATACCTTTTTGAACAGCCTTTAATAATTATGAATGACTTCTTCAGATGAACCATTAAAGACTACCCCCACATGTGAAAAAAGAGCGTCCACAGAGAGATAGAGAGAGAGTGTGGCGTGAGACAATTGTAATCCACAAGGCACACACACAAAGTTATTACACCCGAGTATTACACACAATTCAATTATAATCCACCAATTAAATCATGTTATCACCTGGGCACACAAGTTGGCCCTGGATGATTAAAAGAGACAATATTGACATAATAGGGATTTATCTTCTCGAAAAAATTACCGATTTGGTAATATCCTATTTCATTTTTAAGACTTTGAGAAGCAAGATAATTAACGAATAATGGAGGATAAAAATGATATGTATATTTAAATAAAAATGAACATATATTGGATCAATAATAATTCATTTACCAATATTTCGGTTGAAGGAAAGTCAACCTTTTTCAAGGTATAACAACATATATGTCAACAACAAACTCAGCGCCACTTGTTGACTTGAATATGTTGTTATACCTTGAAAAATGTTGGCGTTCAGCCAACTGAAATATTGGTAAATAAATTATTTTTTGATCCAAGATATGCCTTTTTTAATTAAAGATCTATTCATATATTGCTCTATTTTCAAAACGATATAATATAAATATTTGTCAAAATCCATTATCACTATTCTATGTAATGCCTCGCCCTATCCTGCAAAACATTCAATCTGAACCACACTTTTCCTATTGTAATTAATAATTTACTTTGTGCATTAACATTTTCAAATCCTCATTTTGAATATCGGCAACGTTCTCCTTGGTGTTAACAAAGTAGACAACATTTTTACCAGATTTTATCTTATTCCTGTGTAGTGTAACTGAACAGACATGTGCTTGGAATGATTATTTTCCATGTTATTCTTAGAGAAGTTTATAGATATATATATACTAGCCGAATGACCCGGGCAACGCCCGGGTTTTACCCGATTAAATGCTTTTATTCAAATACTATTCGTTACAATTATAAATTGGCGCCGTAGATGTCACTCTTGTGAAACGTCCCGCCCCAAACCCCTGGGAATCGAACCCGGGGCGCCCGCGTGGCAAGCGAGCATTCTACCACTGAACCAAAAGCAAACGGTGACAGAAGTGTCTCGCGCATTGGCGGCACCAAATGATGGGGGGGGGGGGGGGGGGGGGGGGGGCAAAGGTGGCGTGATCGTAGCCGACCAATAGGAGGGCGCCGGCAAACCGTGACAGAGGCCATGACGCTCGTAACTGTATATAGAATTATCGATTGTCACAGTAAATTGTGAGTGGTTTGACGAAGTGTGAAATGAATCCAAGATCAGACAGGATTTAACAGAACCAGATGTGACTTCTTTAGTACTTTGACATATTGCTCTGATTCCATGGTTGACAACGAAACTCATTGTTGCTTTTCAGATCGTCAATTTATGACATTCTCACCAATAACTGACACTATTCCGGAATAGCATCTTCAAACATCTGTGTCACTCCTATATCAGCGTCTTTGAATATTGTTTGTAGACCAGACGTTTAATTTGAAACTCTTAACTTATTTTATCCTCGATTTCATCAAGTGTATTTTGGTTAGAAGCAAAGATCGCTAAGACATTGAGATAAATTGTAACGAATGCCTTCTCGTCAAATACTAAAATTCAATTGAAAGATGGAATATAAGAAAAGTGTACTTTTCAAAAAATTCACTTAACGTAGTATTTCAACAAATCTACTTGTTTAAACCCACAAATAGGTATTGAAGTCTAATAATTTTTTATTTTCCGAAACCTGAAAATTTTCTCCTTCTGGCAAAGCCATGTACAATTCTTTATAGAATTTCATATAAATATGAATTATTTATGTTTGAGTTCCTATTTACGCAACCATTTTAGGTTACGCATTTTAGGTCCATTCTGATTATACGGAAATGAACTATAGAGGCATATGTTTGATTAAAGTAAATTACGGGTGTCTGGCTACGAGCTTAGCTTCAAATTTAATAACCTTTCCCTTAGAATCTATTTTTTTTAAACCATGATTATTGATTACTTTTTATTATAAAATAAATTAGTGATAACCCATATTTGTCCTTTTTATTAAATTCTAAACAAATTAACTTTTTTACATTTATATCCTTTGTTTAAGAGAGTTCTTCTTTATCCTTATCTAAAAAAAGAAAAAAAAATATCTTCACACACGAAGCACATGGTCATATATATATTTGCTATCAATTTTCCGCAGTTGCAATCAAAAGTGATGGATCCCTCCTGGAAAATGGTGAATGTGGAAGTGGAGTCTACATAGACCTTGATGAAAACTCTACTAAATACAGTAAATCAAATCAACTTTTGTGTCCTCCATGGCTTGCTGAGTTACATACAATCAACCTTGCTCTTGAGCATTTGGATTAAGCAGCTCCTCACCAATTTGTCTTTCTAGCAGATTCACCATCAGCCCTAAAGTCCATAGAAAACTGCTATACAAGTAACTTACACATTTTGAGAGAAATTGCCAAAAATATTAACTCACTTCACTATGACAGCAGATTGATATTTGGTGGATCCCATCGCATGTAGGCATTAGGAGGAATGAAATTGTCGATAGCTTAGCAAAGTCAGCAGCTATCCTGCCTCCTGAAAACATAGATAATATAGATGGATACAAAAGAAAACATAATAGAGATAAATCCAAAGAATGGATCAATAGTATGGGCCACCACTGGTATGAAGAAACAAGACCTGGAGACTCAATATTATCACAGATTTCTAGAAACGAAGCCACAAAAATTTCAAGATTAAAACCGGAAATACTAGACCCATTATATTCATTGGTGGAGAAAAGGTTTTTCCTGTCTGCTCAAAATGCTCCAGCTCCACTGAAACTCCAGCACATATCCTGGACTGTATAGGAGCTAAGAAGGAAGACCTATACAAGAACCCCAAAACACTATAGTAGAAAATATTATTGCTTTCAACCTTCTCTCTCTCTCTCTCATGACCTGGTGTAATCTTACCCATGGGATAATTAAAAAAATCAAAAGGTTTTAAAAATAAGGTAGATTTCGGGGAAAGTCCATGTAGCCTCAGCATAAATTTCCTAGATTTTGTTTTACAAATTTCCAAATATGTTCAAAAGTAAACCTTTGAAAAAGGAAATATGAGTAGATAATGGGATCGTTTAAGATTTGAGAAAATTTTTATTTTATCGAATATTTTGTTGGCATATTTGTATCGCCAAAAAGGATTTGTTTACTTCATCATTTAAATTTTATAACTGTAAATGTCTTTTAAGATTTCCAGATGCCTACTTATAATGTTATTAATTTTGACATAACTCTAAATATTTTAAACATTATTGTCGTTTATTTTAAAAAGTAACATTATATAATGTTCTGAATATAGAGCAATCCATATTTGAATCTTTAGATAATAAAAATGCATATACACTTCGTTCTCTTTTTATGCGGTTTTGGAGTTATGCGGTGCAAGAAAAAAAAAAATTATTCGAATTTCGAAATTTTTTTTTTTTGGTGATTCACTTTTTCTGAAAACGAATAAGAATAACAACTACAACTCTACTATTACGCAATCAATACAAAGAAAGAATTTTGTAACGTCCTGGTTGTATGTTAAGTTATCCAACAAACAGTAGAGGGGAAGTTCCAATGTCTTTTATTCCGCGCCTGCCGGTGTCTTACACAACTCGTGCAAAACTGAAAACCCGCCGGCGTGCCAGCTGCCGTTACAAATTTCTTTTTTCTTTTATTGAAATGTTTTCTCTTGATTTGTTCTTAAAAACAAAAGATACAAAAACAAAAATACCTCGTTAAAATTGCATGTTTTTATGCTGCATTTTGTTTTTGTATGAAACTAATTAAAAAAGCCTGCATATTGGAAAGCATTAGAAAATAAAACTTTGTGAAAGAAGGTTACTACCGAAAACCGGAAGATAAATTTACTCAAGTGAATTGTAAGTTTTTTTGAATAATTTTAGTGCGTAATTGTACATTAAGTTTTTTCTATAATTTTTAGTCCTCTTAAAGAAAATGTGTGACAATAATAAAAAACAAAAAAGAAGTGCAATTTCGCTAGAAACCAAAATTATAATTCCCGATTGCTTGGCGAAAGGAGAAAGATCAACAGCAATAGGTAAACGTTATAATTTAGGCGAATCTACTATAAGAGCAATAAAAAAAAAATGAAGCGGCAATAAGAAGATCAGTCAGATCTGGTACAAATTTGAGTTCTAAAATTTCATCATATTCAAGAGGCACTTTAATAGAAAAAACAGAAAAGGCTCTCGTAATTTGGATTGAAGATTCAACTAAAAAAATAATTCCGTTAGATGGACATTTAATCAAGATGAAAGCCCTTAAATTTTACAAGGAGTTAAAAGAATCAGAGCCATCTACATCTTCACGTGAAAGTAATCCACAATTCTCTGCCAGCACAGGGTGGTTAACTGGTTTTATAAAAATACATTCTTTTCATAATCTAAAAATAAAAGGTGAGGTAGCTTCTGCAGATGAAGAAGCTGCTAGAAAATATCCTGAAAAGTTGGCTAAAATTATTAAAGATGGAGGATATTGTGCCCATCAAATCTTCAATGCTGATGAAACAGGATTGTTTTGGAAAAAAATGCCAACCCGTACTTACATTGCAAAGTCCGAAAAAAATGCCAGTGGTTTTAAAGCTGCTAAAGATCGAGTTACTTTATTGCTGTGCAGCAATGCATCTGGCGATCGAATGTTAAAACCGCTGCTTGTAAATCGATCTTTAAAACCACGTGCATTAAAAGGAAAAGACTTAAATACACTGCCCGTACATTGGATGGCAAACAAGAAGGCCTGGGTAACAACGGCTATTTTCACTGAATGGTTCAATAAATGCTTCGTACCCGAAGTAGAAAATTATATGAAAGAGATGGGTCTCGAATTTAAGATCTTATTAATTCTTGACAATGCACCAGGTCATCCAAACTTAGAACATCCAAATATAAAGGTAGTTTTTTTCCCTCCAAACACAACGAGCCTAATTCAACCATTAGATCAGGGAATTATTTCAACATTTAAAAAATATTATGTAAAATTCACTTTCCAATTCATTTTCGATAAACTGGAATCCGATACAATAACAGTTACTGAAGTTTGGAAACAATTTAATATCTTGAACTGTGTAGATCATGTTGCGTTAGCAATTGCCGAGATAAAATCACAAACTTTAAATGCATGTTGGAAAGCTGCTTGGCCTGAATGCGTATCAAAGAGAAATGAATCAAATAGAACAACAATAGTAACATCAGATATTATTTCAATTGCTAAGGAAATAGGTGGGGAAGGTTTTGATGATTTTGGCGAGCATGATATAGAAGAATTGCTTGTGGACGATGCCCTAAATGATGATGATATTTTGGAAAGTATGGTAGATACTACTAAAGATATCAAAACAGTAGATAGCGAACTGGAAGATGTTACTCCACTGGACGAATAATTACTTCGGGAAGGCCTTCAACTTTCCGGTAAATTGGAATTTTTTTTTATTCAAAATGATAATGATGTAGAACGCGCCTTAAAATTCCAACGTGATCTGAAATTTTGTATGTCTGGCTACAGAGAACTCTACAAAGAACTAGTCAAGCCATCACAGCGTTTGATTATTGACTACCTTGTCAAAGAAAAAAAAATCACTGAAGTTCCTAAAGAAGCATTACCATGTAGATCTGATGACGTAATTTTATCTTCAAGTGATGAAAGTGATCTTGCACCAATCCACAAACGGGTTCGCACATTATCAGACAGAAAATAATGATGAAAACATTCTTAATATGATTTTAAATAAAGTTTTGTTTATGTTTTTTTTTTACATATTAAGTTTTGTTCTTGTTATTAACACACATATGTGCCATTTATTAAAATATGATGAGAAAAAAATTAAATCTTATTATTTATAAATCTTTTTTATGCGATTTCTGGTGCATTTTAAAACATTATTTAGGTTTTATGCGATTTTTTTAATAAATGGAACGTATCCATCATTTTACATATAAATGTATGTCGTTTTTTGTGCGATTTTTTTTTATGCGGATTCCCCTGGAACGCATCTACCGCATAAAAAAAGAACCA